AATACCGACGTAGTAGGACGACACACACACACACACACACACACACACACACACACACAGAGAGAGAGAGATACGGATCCCTTACCGAGAAAGCTTTGAGGAAGACCAGGCATTGTATGATGCCTTCCATCGTGTCCCCGGTTAAACAAAAGGTACCGTTGAGGTGTCGTCCTTTGCGGCCTATCACGGAGCAGAGGTTGGCCTGTACAAAGGCATTCTGCGATCGCGTGGCTGCCGTGAGAGCCGGATGGTGAGAACGGGAACTCATCAGACGCTCCAGCGAGTCCATGTCTTCTAATTTTCGTTGATTCCTCGTTTTGATCTCTCTCGGGGTATCGACCAAAAAGAGGTCAAGAGAGCGTCGTGACGCCGGGACACCGAACTTTGGGGCTGGTATCGAACATTAGTCATGGTCCTCCCCCCTCGTCGTATTGACGAACGAATCTCGCCTTGCGTCCTCGCGCTAAATCTTCCGGTATGAGAGATCCCACTTTGGTTGATCAGAAACACACTCACAAGCGAGGACTCGGAAAGCGGTTTGATGCATGCACCATAAATCACATCATCAGAAAATATAGCAATTTAATTCACGACGCTTTTACTTGACGTTATTGAATTGTTTTTGGTAAACTTAAGGAACAGTGCGAATGCCATTTTGATTTCGGAAGGAAATTTCGCCGATAGCAACGCATTGCAAACATATTTTATTATTATTTAACCGCGTTTTTGTTAAAGATAAATCAGATCTTTGTAGTTAATTACAAAATGTAAAAACAGTCTAATTTTTCTTCGGTTGGCGCATTTCGAGCGACCAATCCTTCTTTCTTTTCTTCTAATCTCGACGAAATGTTTTTGCGTTACGACGTAGCTGCTGCATCAACCGCGAGATTATTTCTATAGAAACTTTTTACGATTACAAACATTAAGATTGGATTATAGGCAGTGAACATATAAAATCGCATTAAACGACATTACGACATTACTGTTCTTCTTCCTTCGAGCATAGTGCTGACACCATACGCGCTATATTTTGAGGAATAATGCACTACTATTCTCGACCACACCGGTTTGGCTGACGTACACAAAAGAAACTTCACTTCTTGTTTATGCGATGCGGTTGCAACGACGTTTCCTCGTCCAACGCGAAAGTTTGCATTCACAGGCACGTACCGAGGAGTTCGTCAAGCAAGTTTGCTTTACCCTCGTTTCGTTCGTGACAAGCTATCAGCCGCTATGTCTCAATCAATATCACTTACTCTCTCAAAAACTTAACGATCCATCTTTTACTTTCCGTATTACACGACGACAACACTGTGTGCGCGCTGTAGCGATTCTGATTCCGCTCGAGTAAACTTGTCGCCGTGGTTTTATATATTCGCGAACAGCTGAAGCACATCGTCGATACTGGCATATCACGAATACAGAATATCAGCGATGATTTTAACAAGTCCCGTCAGCACATCGTCTCGTTGTTTCATAGGCGAAATCGTCCGACGGATCTTATCCATCGTCGTGTTTTTATCGATTCGCAACTCGCTGACAACGTTTTATCTCATTCACAACGTTTATGAATGAAACGACACATTTATCGACATGAATACGCGAATTGCCGTTCACGATCGTGACCACATCTACGAAACTTGTCACCTAAGAATTGGTCGATTCGCTGGTCTCTACGTTCCAGGTGGCGTAACAGCTGACAAATCATTATCGATCGCGTCCTCGCTACCTCGAACCTCCGTAAACATCATGAATCTCCGAGACGGGCGTCTGTTATCACTGCGCGGAACTGTAAATCTATCTCGTGCGGCCATCCATTTGTCCCGGCTCGGCTCGACTCGACTCGGCGGAGTTCTATATCCGTTTGAGGTTCAGCCTCAAAATCCTCGGTAGCTCCCGCCGTAGCTCGCACAAAGCGGCCTCGTTTCCCACACTAACAGATGTTAAATGATTCTAGGTGGAATTACCCGAACCCGAAGTCAAACGCGCGGTCTATTGCGGGCAACAGGCGCGAGGAGGTTCTTGGATCTTGCGAGAAATCGAATATATCTTTTGCGGGGGCAGCGCCTTTGTGGTAGTCCTTTCCGCCGGGCAATGCGTTTCTATCGCTTGCGGGGCGGAATACTTTCTGAGTAAATCGCATATTTCGTAGCAGAAGAAGCAGATGCCGATAATGAAAAGCGTATCCATCTCTCCGTTCGATTACCGTTGTTAAAGTTGCTAAAGAACGTCTCCAACAATTTTGTAAAATACACCGCTCTTCAGAGGCGTGAAAAAAATTCAAAAATTCTCTCTCTTTCTCTCTATCTCTCTCTCACTCGATATTGTCCGTATCTTATTCCTTCCCTCACATAAGGCTCATGTTGTAAACGATCACGGAACCATTAAATGCACGCGTCTGAACGTAACGGCGAGCCGTCGGTCGCGCCGTCGATTTAACGCCGTTAGTGACGTTGCACTTCCGTCCGCGGATGTTCCGCTTCGTGGCGAGCGGCAACGACGGAGAAAATGATGGAAAATGCAATACGAAGGGTGAGTTCTCGATATTACATCGGGATTTGATCGTTCGGGATAATGTCAATCACGCGCTCTCATCCGAACGAGAATCGTTCCAGATGCCAGACGTTAACGCGTTGCCGATGACAGCCAGGTCGTTGATCACGGGCTTGGGGATCGTGTCGATGATTCTACTGCTACTACGGCTACGTCTGTCGACAAGCATCTCACTGGAAGCACTGCCGCTGCCCAAGCATCGCGAGCCTACCCACGTCTTCTCATCGCGTCATACACGCTGCCCTCGAACACGAGGTCGCTGGAGCGCGCGCTTCGGACACGATGGCAGCTCGTTGCCGCGAGCGGAAGCGATCGAGAGGGAGCCACGGCAAGGTGATCACAGAAACAAAACATGGACCATGTGTTTGTGAGCAAACGTCGCCGGATATATCAGCGTTGAGATGCACTGAAACATCGAGCGCTCCGGCTTTGACAGCTGTCGCACTCGTAGTCACCGTTAACCGTCGTACCGGATATTCGTTGTCAATCGTATCGTTTGATCGTCTTCGAAGAAAACAATGAACGGCGAGAACGGCGCGAGTTCTTTTCGCGCCTTTCGCGTTTGTTTCACGACGAACAAACGTTGGTTATCGAGAAAAAAAAAACGGCGAAAACTGATCGACGAGATCTGCCACCGGATTTCTTCGCAGGCACACTTCGATCGGATTAGAACACACGGTCGTCACTGTTGCGTAACGCATATAACGTAGATATAATTATACGTAATTCACACTAGGTGCGAGAAACAGCGCAGCTATATCAACGGGCTCGCAACGGGCCAGCGTATGACTACCAGATATTCTCGGCGTGAGGGTGCGCCTTTACAAGAGTGGGCGGGTGGAAACGAGGGATGCTGGGCGACGGCGCGGCCCGCGGCGCCACCCCGGCCCCTTCGCGTGGTGCTCTCGCAAAATCCGCCAGCTCTCTCTCTCTCCTCCCCCCCCCCCTTCATGCCCCGTGTCCCCAGCGTGTGAACACTCGCCCCTTCGTCCCCCTGGCCGTCCTCGTTCACGAGGCGCTATTCGCCGTTTCACCCCGGCCATACTACCGACCAACGCTACGTACTTCGGTCTTATTCTTCGTCATCCCGCTTCTTTCGCTTCTTTCGTTCCTTTCGCCGTCCTCTATCGCGTTTTTTTATCGCATTCTTTATTTCTCGTGTCGTCCGTGTGTGCTGTATGGCCTCGCGTTTCTTCACCGCCTATCTTCTTTCGCCTCACGCCGTTGACCCGGTGTAACGCCAACGGCAATTTTTACGCCAGGCACGGTTAGGTGGGATATTCAAGCGGATGAAAGCGCTCGTGCGACTGTCCGACCAGCGATCGTATTGCGATGTCCCTAATGCACCTTGCGATGTTTCTTTTGAAATTCTCATGTATGGCTTATTCTCGCTTGACAAATGACGATGATAACGAACTCGGAGAAGATGGAATGTAATGCAGATTCCAACCGAAGTTAACATAAAATGATAGATTGGATTAGATATGTCTATAGTCTTAAATTTATGACTAAAGTTACAAAGCATTCGATCATATCGCTCTCTCTCACTAGGATTCGTTAGCCCGCGAGATCGAAATCGCAATCCGAGTGAAATCTTATACCTGTCTGGCTCGCGAATTGCGCTCCTATTACGAATGGGGTTTCGAGTTTTCGACGATCGCCTATGATTTGCGCTACTGCATCGCACTACAATAGTTCGCTTTTATTCTGAAATCTCCATTCTGTAGCTTGAAATAGCTTATTCTCTTTTTGTTCACTTGTCCCATTTTCTCTTAGAATCTTTATTGATTTTCTCTATCGCAATTCCCATAGAATTTTTTTTCAGATATATTTTCCTTTATGTGAAATTTTTCTATCTCCTTTCTTTTACCTTTATCATTCGTACTTATTAATTGTTTGACCTATTTTGATTCTTTCTACTTACGCGCAATTTCTGGAGTTATTTGATGAATCAATTAATTTAATTATGTATAATTAGCCGTAAATTTTCGATATTTAAAATATTAATTTTGTATTATTTAACTATTTAGGTCTTTTTTATCTATCAAAAATCATCGATGAAATAATTATCTACAATAATTAAAATTACATAATAATCGCAAAATGAAGATAAATATCATAATTTTTATTATACGTTATTTTTATTATTTTATAATTGTACATTAAAGGATTTGAATTATTGACACTTGATTGTATAATGTAGATGAAAATATATTATGTTCGATCAATTAGGATTGATGTTCGAAAATAGGATATTCGCTTTTTAAGCTTTTGTCAAATTGCACGCGGCATAAGAATAATATGGGTAAATGGCCCATATATCTTTAATGAACTTTCCTAAACACTGACTGACTTCGTGCATCATGAACGAGGAACTTACGACGAATATCCCGCGAGATTAGGTGCGCCGGATCAACAAATTGTGAGTTTGCATTTACGGTACATCGGTGCAACTGTTCATTCCAAGTTCGCGTCGCCGGTTTAATTGGCTTTAATAAAGTTCGGAGAGTCGCGTCAGAGAAGTCGTAGAATTAACAGTCGCGGTCTATCGCGCGAGGTGTTTTAGCGATTAAAGAATCTTTTTTCGAAGAAATACGCTCGTCACATAACCAACATTTGTCTCTTATACAAAAAGGGAATTTTAAGAATAATTTGATGGGAAACGAGCGAACGAGCGAGCTAGAGAGGAGGCGGGGGGAATGAGAGAGAATTATGAGAAACAAGTTTACCACAATCATTTAATCATTTAGTTTGCCAACTTTTCCCTCATAATATTGTAATCACCGAAAGATTTTCTCATCTTTAAACGCAAAGGAACAATAAGTACATTTATTCCCTGAGTGCGTTAAAAATGAGACTCGGCGTTATCTACAAATTTAGTTCGCAACTTGTATAATTCAGATTGCTCTCTATCGCCTTACACTCTTCACGAAGAGGTAGACGGTGCAATACGATTGTATAATATCAAACGGTGCGTTTTGATTGTCTTATGTCCGTTATAACGCAATTTAAAATGAATCTACGAGCGCGGCTTATCTAGAAAATATCTATGACACAGTTATTTCATTTGGAAAATGATTCGAGGATTTATGGCTGGATCCTATTTCAGTTCTTAAGGTTTATTCCAAAATGCAAATTTGCAAATGAAGATGAATGCGGTGTCATATTTGTCACGCGCGACGACGTCTTCTTGAATCCGATAGCTATGCTAAATCGTTGTAATCACAGGTAAACTGTTGGTCAATGCTCTCCCCTAAATCGATAATTGGTACCTGTTAGGGGCAGATAAGGTCACCACCATCACGCTCACCCAACATCTTCCCCTTAATTGCCCCATATTTCCGTCCCGATATAGTTACTTTCTTCCACGTGAAATTCATACGGGCGAGTGTTTAACTGATCTTCTGATCGCCTAATTACTCAGAGTACTAACCTTATGCAGTTGCGAACTTTATTGCATGAACATTTTGCAATAATGGAAAATCGATTTTACGTAGGTAAACCATTACAGCGGTATAATTTTCTGCGTTAAAAGTGTTAACTTCTCCAATCACCATATGGCCATTAATATCTTCCACATACACGCACATACATACATTACCACGCATTTGAGTTCAATGCCAGTTCTATTTTATGCGCGAGCGTATATTCATGTCTAGTAGACAGCCTTTTCCGCCTTTATCTCGTTTTTTCCTATCAAACGCTGTTTGAGGCAGGCACGTAAAACTCGTCACACAAAATTCTTTTCTCGGGATAGAGGCGCCCCATCTTTACGAAAAGCATATTGTGTCCCGCGGCATGAATTCAGATTCAATTCCTCTTTCATTCGACACTGCTTCCTTCGAACCAATACGATGAAAGTTTCTCCAACGTGTCGGACATAGAGATTTGTTGAGGCGCGCAGCATGTCGCCGAAATATATGTAGCTCGCACTTGAAAGGGTTTTTTTTAGGATCATGCATATACTACGACTGTGCGATCGATCGCGAAATACGATTGTGCGTGATATAAGTTTTAGTATCGCACTGTAACGACAAATGGTGCTAGTTTGTCGGTTTTCGGTTACACCGAAATGAAAGAATAGTTAATTACGAGAACAATAGCTTACGCGAATTGGATCGATAGAAAACGGCACGTATAAATATACTACGCGCTATAGCATTGTAATATATACTCCTGCTCTTTATGGCTTCCTTCCACCGTGCTATCGCCGAATCTGAAAATAACTCATCATCAGGGATAATAACATTACACATTTCGAAACCCACTGTCTTTATTTTTTTTTTTTTAATAAATTTTTTCGGATGTAAATTACCTTTTTATTTTTAGTTCAAGATAAGAACGGTAAAATGCAAGGTGTTTAGCAATTTTAAAATACATAGAATAATTGAGTAAATATTTTAATATGCCGAATATTCTCGCGTATAATCTAGATTGATTAAGATCATCATAGTGATCACTAATCAATAACTAATTTCACAAGCCTCGTTGATTAATGGAAGCAATCGATGATCAATCTTGGACCAGATGTGACAATATCTGTTACGTAACATAATGACTGAAATATGCGACGTATTAAATCATTATTCAATTTATGATAAAATAAGGAATAAGATATATCATGTAAATGTGATATCAAAAATTTTTGTACGAGGAAGAAAATAGGTAAATGAAAGCGTAATTAATTTTTGTCATGAGTGCATCAAGGCTAACTAATTTGCCGAAAGGCGAAACGGGGTCAGAAACGATTTCACCAATAACTGCGGTAGAGATTGCTGCTACTATAGAACGGACGTTTAATCTATCTACACATATATATATATATATATATATATATATATTGCGCACGCGCACATAAAGATGCATTTTACATACATATGTATATATATATATGTGTATGTAAAATGCATCTTTATATGCGCGTGCGCAACCATACACACACGGATCGCACAACTATTGATATATTCCGACATTTACGACTTGAAGTAACTTTGCTTAATATATGGCAGGACTTAGATTATAAATTTCCTTGCATCCGAAAGTGTACCCCATTCCAGCTAACCATAGCTTTATGCAACTGCCGCCCTTCACGTTATATACGATGTATCAACATGCTGAAAAAACTTAAGAACGATGTTCAATAATGAATGATTATATCTACTAAAAGCATCTCGATTATACGAAATGGAAAAAAATATATGTCAAAGTATAATTCTACATTATAGAATATAATTGATTAACTGAGTGCAACAAGTTGATCAGAAATTTGAAAATTTATTTGTTACTGAGATTGTTTTGTCATACAAGAAGTACTTCACTATGTTTAAATTTTAATTACTTGATTACAATATGAATTGATATGCAATACATACAATAATACTTGAATATCAATTTCGTTAAATTAATTTCTGCGTTAAATTTATACACATTAATATAGATTTCACAAAGTTGCATCAAATATTTTATTAACAGAACTTATTACAGTATATGTGGTCAGATATGGATATTCCAAATAATATTATACGTAAGCAAAATATAAATGCTATTTTAGTATTAGTATTACACGCATATGTATATAATATCTTAGTATTAGCAAAAATTGGACACAAAAATTTATCACGGAAGATAAAGCAATATTTAATTTCATATTATGAAAATGAACAATATTTTATATATAACAAATTTATACATTGAATTTATATTATCGCTATTATATGAATTATTATAGCGATTTGTGAAATTAAACAAGATATATAATTATACAAGATATATAATTAAATTCCCAAATACGATTA